TGCTTCTACAACACTTAGCTCATGGCTCTACATCCTGCGCTTGTAGTTCTAGTATTTCAGCAGTGTCTCTTGTTGAAGTCCGGATCGAAGTCCGAGCAGGAGATGTCAGAGTGAGACATTACGAGTGCTAGCCAACTGCGCAACCTACAACGAAGTGACGTCGGTCCGAGAATCTAATAAGTGACTGTCTATTTCCTATGTTACACTTTATTACTTATCACTATGCTAACCACCTTAAAACTACGAGTTGTCAGGAACATCTCAGTCCCCGCTTTACGTTACAACTAGAGCTAACATACCCATAGATATATTTTCTTATCAGGTACTACTATAGTGGTACTACCCGGTGAGTCCGTTTCCCGAGACTGAGATATATATTTTCTTATCAGCTCCCGTATCTAAGCCTCTCATCGCGAGATCTCTCACATATTACAACTGTCTGATTATAATATATCATGTTTGATCTGTGCAGAAGAGCTTATCAGTGAAAATAGGAGATACACGGTATCTAATATCTAATATATGTAAGGACGAAACGTTTGATCCCGCGGAACCAATTCGCGTGACTCTCCTGTCTGTGCTCCACATGAGCTCCACACGCTGTCCGATTTGCTTGAGCACTCGCTATCGTTGTGCGCTCGGCAGTCTCCTATTTGCGTGGGCGGTTCGCTCATCTGCGTGTCTCTACTCCTCCTTTTGCAATTGCACGTCACCGAGCTCCACATGCGATCGCACGTTTCTCTCCTAACTGTATTCCTCTGCTTTTACCACCATGGCGTCTGCATGCTCATTTCACAGCGTCGTTGGTATTCAAAATGCTACTCGTTATGCTTTGGAGTAGCATTTTGAATCGCAGAGTTGTCGAAGTTCAGATTCCTCATACCGGAGAGATACATTGCTTGCCTCGGATCACGTTCACCTTCAATCCAGCACGTTCAAGCTGGACTGTAATTCGCAAACAGTTTCCTCTGCGACCTGCTTATGCGATGACATTCAACGGATGTCAAGGGCTAACGCTAGAGAAAGCTGTGCTTGACTTGCGCACAGATTCGTAAACGTTGTATACAGACATCTCTTATTGTGATTGACGATGGAAAACGCCCGAAGGTGTAAGGAACGCTTGTATATCATTAATCTGCAGTATCTACGACTGATCCTGGCTGGGAAAAGGCATAATAGGCATGCTACTACAGATAGATAACTGTTCTGGATAATTTAAAAGGATATAAGTATCACAAAATGCGAAAATCATCTGTGGTGTACCAGGGGGAGACATTAGCCTGTATAGAAGGTTACTGTCAGTCTAGTGGTGCGGCTAACTGATTTATATACTCTAGATATACATAGTAATAAGCCCCCTACATTTCCTGAGGGCCAAAGTCCCAGAGAAAAAATTCCCAGGGGGGTGTATCAGCTGGAGGAGGTAGTGATACTAAACAGCAGGGACTGGTCCTACTGCTTAGCACTTCTGATATGTTATATATACTATATATTAGATGCTAGGTACCATATCTACTTGATGATATACCAATTTCCGAAAAAATGCGAACCAATTTAAGTTGCTAGGGGGGTAAACTATAGATCTTGATATAGAGCACTACAGAGGGTGAAACAAGCGGCAAAATGGCAATGAATATATGTTAGATGTGCTTAGGAATCATCCCCTTACCATCCTACAGCGCTATACCTGCAGGAAAAGTATTCCCAGGGATTGAACCAGCAGGAGGAGGGGGTTTTACTACACAACACAGCCGCAGAGAATATCGGTGGAATGTGATGTATCAATCGTTGAAGCAGCACTCCAATGGTACTAATGTATGACAAACCGCTGATGTATCAGTCCACATTTTCCATCTTAGCGCATTCATGTATCGCCATCTTGTGACAGCTACCGTATCATTAATGCATCATTCTCACAACATGGACTCCCGTGGTGGGGGAGTCAGTCACAAGTCAACTCGCAATGCAATACAGGTATTTTGCAATGACCGTGATATTCTAGATTGTGTTGCTCCGATAGTAGTAATGCAGCCTCCGAGGAAGACGAAGAAGTGTCCGAGGAAGATGAAGAAGGTGAACTCCCGTTCGAGGAAAACGAAGAAGGTGGACCGTCCGAGTCTGCCATTGATGAAGGAGTTGAATCAGAGATGGACGAGTATGGTTATGGTGCACTAGATCAGGAAGAGGACAACACTGACAACGAAGCTGATGATCGAGATGATGGCAGCGACGACGAAGACGACGAAGTTGATGATGACCTGGGACCTGAGGATGGAGAAGACGAGAACGACGAGGAGCTCGAGGGGTATGGAGAGCTTTGATTCATTTGTATTCATGCAGCGACTCTGAGAAAAATAGTCAACAGTCAAGCAATAATTCCTTGCATACATACGAGTAGTTCACATGACTGGTGTAATACACACGTGCGTCCTGCCAGGCCATACCAGATAGCTATAAGGCTGTCGACATCCGTACAAGTGAGCACAATGCTGGTGTATAATGATAAGACTCGCGCCAGTCTGGTGTTCCATTGCAAGTCTACCGCCATGTCATACCTGGCCAATATTAGTCGTACGTGATCATGTAAGTATTGCAAGCTCTCACCTGACCATACACGTTTTAGTTTTATTGATGCTTCGCAAGGCGATAAGCATATTACTGCACGCCAAATTGCCAATAGCCTTGCTTCACAAGGTAACGAAGTTATGGTCGGACCGTCTGTATGAGCAAAGTTCTCAAAATATTGGGTGGCGATCTGCTGGCATTGTAGATATAATATGTTCGAAAGGGGTTTTCGGGTATAGATCCTTCCTATATCTCCATGAAGAACAACATTCAGCACATAAAAGCAAGCCGTCTTCCTACTGTCTCGTTCAGATTCATTCGATCCCATATCACACACTCACAGACAATGCGTTTCTCCGTTATCCTCGCCGTTGCTGCTGCTTTGACAGCACAAATATCTGCCAGTGACGCTGACAGCGAGGGCTGTCCTATCGTTTGCTGGCATACTCGTGATTGCAGCACCCACTGCACTTTTTACCCGCAGTACACATGCGTGAGTATGAGTAGTTTGCGTCCTGGATTTAACCACACGACTCACCGGCTTGGTAGTTCCTCTTTTTTTGCGTCGGCTACTAAGTGTGGCAGTGAGTCGTGTTTCTGCTTTCACATCGGTGCGGTTGTTGATGGCAAGACGCGTGAATTACTAGTAGTTTGTTGCGGAGTTGATAAACGTGCTTCCTTCTGAACGAATTTGACTTCCGCTCGAGTAATGAAGATCTTGGAATAGAGGAAATCTCAAGTACTTGAATGCTTAGGATATGACCAAAGTACTTACGACACAGTTTTGTAGTCTCGTTATCAGCACCCTATTGAATAGTGGTATATATAGAAAATCGTCGTTGTCAATTTGCGAAAGCTCAAGATCCAGAAATGGCACTTGTGGGAGTAGTATGTCATGAAAGTCGATGCGAGTTACAAGGGAGGATTCGGATCCGCTAACTTCGATGTCCTCGGAACTCAAGAGCGTCCAGACGCGAAAGAAGTGCATACATATAGCAGACTTATAGTGTATGTCTGAGACGGAATGAAGAGAGAAAATGACCGCTCAACACTGATGAGGCAGGCGTTAAGAACGTTGAAGAATGTGAGTATGAGTAGTTTGCTTTGCATCCTGGATTCGTTTCTCAAGTACTCACCACTTGTGCCCTGTAACACAAATAGCCCCGGGCTGGTACAAAGTTCTGCAATACTTCTAGTCCTTCGGAAGAGACGGGGTGGCGTACGATAGCCCAGAAAGAGTTGTGGCTAGTTATTTCCGAAACGGGTAGATAGGCCCCTATAGTAGGAGCGTCACTACTGAAGTTATCATTCATTAACTGGAGTTGCCGCAATGCTCTCTTGACGTCAATGATGGAGATGCGGGTGAGACGTATTATTCAACAATAAATGTATCTAATGGGCTCCCGAACGAGACTCGGAGCTGTAAGAGCAAAAGATGGCAGCAAAGGATTGCGTCAAATTCCCTTTCCGGGAGTTTGATGGGAGTCCCCTTCTCTTGCGCCTTATATATTGGATGACGCAACTTCAATCGAGTTTAATTTTTCCTTTACACAAATCTAATTGGCCGATACTTTAGACTTCTCCATGTGTGGGCCTACCCAGGGTCTATCCCTTTGCCATTGTGGCACGCGCTCCGGGCGCTCTCGGCAGGACGCACATACTGAGCAATCTCTGTCTGAGCAGAGATTCTTTCCTTTTCCTAGTGCACGCGGGCAATTAGGAGGTCATCGCCTCTTCTCACTTGCCTGTTGTCGCACTAGGTATGTAGACGGACGATTTTCCTATTTACCTCTTCTCACTTGCCTGTCATCACTCTACCTGTTTCTTTTCGTCACCCTCCCTTAGTGTTTTCCCTGCCCTCGACTTATTTCACGCAGCTTATTTTGCGCGCGTTCGTGCATCCTAGGCCTCGATTTATCTCTATCTACGGTCTTCACTGCTTTGTCCTTAGCTAGTTCGTCTATTCATCGGATTTCCCCGGACTCGCGTCCGGGAAAATCCTCTTGCTGGCTAATCCTTGTAGCCTGCACTTCCGCGAGGCAAAGTGAGACCAATTAGCCACGACTACAACCACTACTCATAGAAACAGGAGACTCGAACAAACACTTACATCCCTAACAAGCATTGTTGGTGACGGTCGCAGATCAGGCATTCGGTAAGCCTCGTCTTCAGTCTCGGAACCTTCTACATCAGTAAAATCACGAAGTCCTTATTTGGCTTTCAGCTGATTAATCAGCTTTGGACTTCGAACCAAAGTTGCCTTTTGCCGAAAAGGTGGGATAAGGTGCACAAAGTCAAAGTTCTTTCAAGGTGCGAAAAGAGCAAAAACACGATACATAGATTTAAGGAGAATAATCAGATTCAAGCTGTTACAACTGCTACCAAGGTAAAATTACTAGTAGTATAATGAGAGTTCAAACATGAAAATTAAAAGATTATGATGCGATTTCAAATGTGTGATGATCAACATACTTGTTAACATGATAAGCTCGAAAAGCATCATAGGACACGTGCAACGTGATGTCGAGATGAACGAATTGGTTGCCAGTAGATAGGGATGAGGTGAGCAGCATGGTAGATGGTGTCCTGCATGTATGATAGTGTGTGTAGGCGCACGGTTGGCATTGTAGGCTGGGCTGAACCACCCACATTCCCGTCTCTGGGTCAGGTGAGCCCCCAATGACATCGAACCAGTGCACAACGGCACATGGGTACACTGTTCCTGCATAATTGAATGAAAAAAATGCCTGAACCCTTGCAACATTGAGCCCTCAGATTCCTTCAGTGTCTGATCCTGTATTAACAAATACGCAATCATGACGAGAAAACTCGTTCCGCCACATAGGGCAGGAATGGATATGTTCTACTTGCATGCCACCAATCCTGGAAAGGTCACTTGGTACATAGAATCTTGAGCACACGGAGTTGAAGACTGATATCTTTCCTTCATACCTGGGGCAGGCAGCAAGAGGGATGTCATACATGTTGAGTGTGTTGTCTGGGCGTGTTTGCTCATAAAGAAAGTGGCAGATTAAGGCAGGGAGAGATGGAAGGTGCAATTCGTCAGCGAGAGCCAATACATTGCGGGCACGCTTTGTTTCTGCGCATGATGCTGCATTAAACTCATAGTCCATAAATATAGCTACAAATGTCACTTACAAACTGTTCGAGCGAGTCGAGTGTGTGCTTGTAGAATGGTCGGGCCATGGTCAATCGTTAAGTCGTTGCTGTCCTCAAGATTACTCGCTTGGTTTGGTGGGGGGTCATTGGGGTCTTCATCATTAGGGACATTGGGATTGTCTGACATACCTAAGCATGCATTAGTACTGGATAAATTTGAGAGAAAATAGTAACTACGCACTGAGAGCCTTGAGTTCGGCTGAAAGGCAGGTACCCTTCAACATTCCATGGCTTTCAAAATCAACACACGCAGCGGCGAGTTCACTAAGACGCTGGTTTGTGACCAGCATCTGACCAAGCACTTTGTATCTACTTGACTGCCTCCACGGGTCCTTCACAGCCTTGATGTGTTTGCTCTCGGTAATTGATGAGCAAAGTCCATTGGGGGTGCCAAAGAGCCGGATAACATGTGTGTAGTGCATAAGAGAGTGTTGTTGTGGCAGTGAAAACGTTGGAATGACACCAGAAGTCTTGAAAACCTCACGGTATTGATGGAAACGAGAGACGGCATCTTGAATTTCGTCCAGGGTGCGCTCTGTGATGGTGTTTTGACGTACAAGGTAGCAGAACTCTAGCAATGCACGGAATGTGTGAACAACATCTGTCAGTACGTGACCCTCAATCACGGGAATGTAAACCTAAGTTTATCAGTAAAAGTCGTTGGTAAGAGGAACAGATTCACCTTCATGAGGGCTTTGCAGTCATCCCCTGTCCATTGCTTGAAGCCACATCCTTGCGGAAAGTGGCGCAGACCAGAAAATGAGGCAATGGTCACAATCCTGAGTGAGAATTTAGTCAATAAGTTAGTAAAAGGATGTTAGATTCATACCTGTGATCAATATCATCTAAGATACGGTCCGCTTCAGTCCTCCTGTGAGTAAGCACAAGGTATTTCTCCACCCAATCCACAAGATAGTCCTTAAACGCGCCTTTGATAACTTGATGTAGGATGTCTGGGGCCATTGTTTCATGAATGTCGGTGTGTGGGAAGTTGTTTGTGAAAGGCTGAATATCAGAAATGTCAACCTGACTCTAGGTCTCAGGGTGAACATGTAGACTTACAATTAAATCAGTGACTATTCCAAACTCTGTCCACAGTTCTCCATAAGTACCCGCTTCAAACAGGGCTTCATGGTATTCGTGGCACCGAAGGACTGAGGGAGCATCGAGATTATCATGATGAGAGCTGCATCTAAAAGAGAATTAGTCTTAATGCTGATGAGATAATACAAATATTTTGTCACGAAGCGGACTATGCATGCAAGGAGAACTTGCTCCTCATAATCGGAAATGTATGGCCCCAGTCTGTAAATTACGCGCCAAAAATGACCATCTCCAAACTTCATGATTTCAGGTTTTGACATCCCAGGCTGAAGTGATGCGAGTATCCTAGACAGTGATGAATGGAATAATTGGCGATGGAATTTGCGAAACTTTGGGTCATCTGTGTGTTTATTTGTAGCTATACAGTTGAAATTAATACTTGAGTGTTGGATTGCTCAAAAGATATGGACGTACTTTTGGGCATTGCAAGGAAGCCAATGACCACAAGCGCATCTCAATGTGCACGGCAAACATTGTTATGAACATTTCCGATCGAAAGATAAAGTGGGTAGTACTCATTGTTGCCTGTTGCAACAGAAACCGTCGTCTTGTCACTTCCGAGGATGATGGGCACAAAGGTGGAGCCAATTGTTTCTGGGTCTCCAGCAATGATATCCTGTAATGAGTATAGTTAGTTATGTTTAAGAACACCGAATTTCAATAACTTAGGGTCAAAAAGAGTGAAGGGGATGAAGAAGGGTGAGTCTTGTGCTAAGAAAAGGGAGGGGATGAAAAATGGTGAATTTTGGTAGTCTAGTGCTAAGAAAAGGGAGGGGATGAAGAATGGGGAATTTTAGTAGTCTAGCGCTAAGAAAAGGGAGGGGTTGAAGAATTTGGAATTTTGGTAGTCTAGTGCCAAGAAAAGGAAAGGTGGTAATGGTGATAAAATCGAACACTTACTGCCTGATTCCAAGCCCAATCAGCCGACATAAAATCTCGTAACTGCTGTTCATCTCCATTGGTAGCGTACTCGCAATAAGGCCGGTAATCCATTTCATTAGCATATGCCGGATTCGCCAACATGTTGAGAACAACCTCCTGAGGATCTCGGTACCAGACATCATAAGTCCCATCCATCCAGGGTGGGTAGCTGTCAGGTTTCTCGCCTGTGTATGTGCACGAGAAGCCCTCCCACTTCATGTCGCCTAGTGCGATTGAATCAATTGTCGCATAGAGGTCTTTGTGATCTGCAAAGGGTGGGCTGCCGCCGGACTTTAAAAGTGTTGTCGCCCACAGGTCGAGAAGATGGTCAATTTGTCCTGCTGGCATCTGATTTTTTATGTAGAAAAACTTGGCTGTTTCGAATTCTGCGCGATTTCAAAATGGTGTCCAATAATTTGGTGATTTGGGCTCAGGAGGTGGAGGTGGTGTACCCTTGGGGAGAAAATGGCCATGTTTATCACAAGGTCGACCTTAAAACTCGTAATTAGAGTCTGAACAGAAGGACAAATGAAAAAACAAACCATCCAACAATGTATGGTAGTTGCGATAGAGCAAGTTTCCAGGCCCAAAGAATTCCATGTGTACGTTGGGAGGAGGAGAAGCTTGTAATGCCTCATCATCATCACCATTTGGTTGACCTAGAAGCTTGTCGTCCTGAAAAGGATTGTCAGCAATGTTGTTGGGGTGGCTTATGTGTGGTTCTGGAGAGGCTGGAGGAGATACAATAGGGTGGGCAGAAAGAATATGCTTCATGCAACCGGCAGTAGTCTTGAAGAAACGGTTGCAGCCCACATTGCCGCAAGGGACTTGGAATGCGCTGAAGTCTCACCGAGCAATTTGAGTGCGAGGGACAATTTCTGGCATGCTGAGGATGATAAAGGCAAGGAGAAGTGCCAAGGGCCAAAGCAAGGCCCTCTGCATTGTGAATACTAGTAAGCGTACAAGCCTAAATTCAATATAGTGTTTGTTTGGCATGTCGGGAGGGGACGTACAAATTCATTTCGGACCATTTGAAAAACCTTGCTCTCAACCAACTCAAATTTCCATCCCTCCGAGTCTTGGATTTGCTGGTACTAATATTTCAAATGGTTGAGCCAATCCACCACACCCGCGCCAAAAATGCAACTGCTCACCCTGGTCAAATTGTGCTGGATGCCCAACAGAAACACCGGATGCCCAAAGCAAAGGCAGCTGATGAGAAGCGTCTCAAAGCTGCTCAAGAAGCCAAAGAAGCGCTGGCTGTGGCGGGGCTTAACCGGCTTGCAGAACTGCAGGCCAACATGGAAGAAGCCCAGGCAACAATGACAAAGCCCAAGGCTGTCAGGCCACATCCTTTACCTAAGAAGCAGCGAGGTACTGCCAGTGCAAGCAATGAAGACGAATCTGCCGTTGTTAGCGGCATCACTATGAGGGCACAACTGCCAGTGGAAGAGGCAATGGAGGATGCTGACGAAGATCTCCTGGCAGGTGATGATGATTCAGGTGATGATGGGAGGAAAAAGAAAGAACAGAAGAACGCACGGTCGCTAAGCAATGCCATAGTCAAAGCTCGCAAGAACTTACCAAGCGCTGCAAAGGCTGATAGTCGTTATCAGCCATGTGTGAACGAGAAAGGCAACTCCTTACCGTGAGTTGCACATGCCTCAACCACCATGTTCATTCTCTCTGAATCTACACTTTTCTTTCACAATCTGACTTTGCAATCAAGGGCCAAGTCAACTTTGGGTGGCCGTGTTCAGAACTGGAGAAAGGATGTCTACTATGAGCCAACGACCACAAGCAATTCACTCACTAGCGCAAGTCAAGTTCCTCCATCTACCATATTTTCAAAGTCTCAGATATCGCATGACTCAACTGGTACTTCTCTAAGCTCAAATCCTTGTGAGCCTCGACTGCCTAGCTCCAAGAATTTGCCTAAGATGCCTGAACTTACACACTCAGATGAGCTTGTTGGAGGATTTGGAGATGAGGATCTTGATGATTCATTTGAGCGTGCTGTTGCGTTGCATAATTGTGGCAAAGTAGTAAGCACTGGCAGAACGGTGACCATCAGTTGATTTTATTCATTTGTTTGTACTGATTTTTCGCCCAAGTCCACCATTGAAATTACTTCCCATGACACTGATCCAGACCTCGTGCCGCCACCTCTTGCTCAACAACAATCTCAAGTTAATTCTGCAAGGAAGAGAAAACAATTCATGGACATAATTCAAGACATTTCCAAAGAGGACGATCTCTTGACTCCGCAAGAGGAGATTGATGATATTGTGTATGAACCAGCTTCTGATGATGAGGAAGCCATGCAGGTCGACGAAATAGAGGATGTGGTGAAGAAGCCTATTGCAGTCAAGATGCAGCAAGCTAACACTGTGAAAGTTTCACGTACTACAGCCGCGGTATTTTTTTCCATGTCTTGCATCTTCGCTACTAATTTCACTCCAGACATCTGTTGGTACTGTGTCTCGCTGTGACAACAAAGTTCCCCCCTCAAAGAAAGCAAAGACGACACACGTGAAGTCTGAACATTCAGCGTCTACTGCTGGGCCTAAGGGGGATGGCAATTGGGTGGAACTAGTGTCAAAGGCATGTTCAACATACCTGAACACCGATCTTCCTCCAGGTTGCCATGAAGATGGAAAATGGGCCAGGCAGTTTTTACCGATGGTCTTTCTCTGGCTCGGCGCTCAGGACGAACTTTGGACAATTACTGATGTGAAACTTCTTCATGCATGTCAGGAAATTTTCAAGGTTATCTACCCAAACATTCAGTACAAGGTTGTAACATCTGGTTCAGTTTTTGGTGTAGTAAGTTCATCTTCCATTTAATTGATGGTGTTCTAATTATTTTATTTTCAGGTCACTCAGCGTGTCAGCGAATGGCACAGCAACTTTGGATTGACTGCGCTCGCTATGGTGATTGATTTTCTAAATTCAAACAGAGACACTTCTCTGCAAACACTTGCAAAACTCTTCCTCAATGAATTTGTGTTTCTGTACCCTGATCCTGAGAATATCGACAAGGCTGAAACCTTCCGCTCTGCCTTTGTGCAAGAGCTGCTCGCTACTGCGCATCTTGCCCAGATTGTTGGGCATGCTGATGTTCCTGCTCTTGATACCGATGCTCTAGCAGACAGTGGCATCACCGGTGCCCTTGGATTGTGTGCCATCTCAGTGTGTCAATTTATTGGTGTGGTTTGTTGCACTGATTTATTTAATTCTAGCTCGAACGTGCTTTCACCCTTGTTGCCAACAACACCATTGTTGTTGATAATCCCGAGGCACCTGTTGCAGGACGAAAGGCTCGTTTAAAGACACCAAAGTCCTTCAACAAAGTAACCGGAAAGGAAACAGCCACTGAGCATACATTCTTGATTGCCAAGTGGGGCCCGAAAACTGCTTCATTCATTCGAGGGGCGAATAAGAAGGGCGTGGAATCAATCTGGCTGACAATGTCCATGGCCTACAAGTACTTGAAGAAACCTGGCTTCGACAATCACAACAGCCTTGACTCAGTGGATGAGATGGACGACCGTGCGGACATCTGGTGAGCAGCGCTCCACTTGTGCCAGTTATCCTTCTAATTGCCTTTTTTCAGATTGAATCACCTTGATATCCATTTTTCACGCATTTGCGGCCCTTTGCAGCGGTTCTTGACTCTCTTTAGATCTTGTTTTAATCATTTTCTCCTGAGTTCATACAGTCCTTTTTCTGCTTAATGCGTCTTGGTACACCTTGCAATGCTTTATAATTACTATTTGGTTGAAAATTGGGATAATTTGAATCCAATGATATTTGCCTTTTAGTGAGTTTTTTTTCGTCTTGAGCAATGCGAGTTAAGGTGAAGTCAGACAATTTTAAGAATACACGTGGCCTTTTGGTGTCTTGTGCACTCAAGATCTTTTTGCGACTTTTATGACCCTGCAAGTCAAAAAAAGATGCCTCAAGTCATCTTGGATTTTCCTGATATACGTTTACATCTCTGCAGGCGTTGTGACAAATTCTAATATTACGCTGGTCAACGAGGTCAGTGGTATCCTCGGCTTAGGGTTTCCAAGACAGTCAGAGATATCTGCGAGTGCCACGAACAGTATGTTATTCGGTGCGCAGCCTCACAGATTTGGTCTTCCCTGTGCATGTTCTAGCCATGCCATTTTGTTTGACCTTGGCTCAGCAAGGCATACTGGAATATCCACTTTTTGGGCTAAGTCTTATGAGAAACGCTACTGGAGCGCTTACCCTTGGGCAGTCTCCACCGGGTGCCTGACTTACATACGATACTCATGTCCTTGTGTTGAACAGGGGCTATTGATGTATCTGTCGCGCAAAACCTCAGCCAAGTCGTGCCGTTCTCTCCGGTTTGTACACAAACCAATACATCTGGCTACTTCTACTGGGTGATCCCTCTGAGCAGTTTTGCGGTAAGGCATTTGAACTCGCATTCATGATGTGGAATGATATTGACCTCTTGCAATGTCAATGTAACTTAGTACACTCCCCAACCAACCTACCCTTGTCCAACTGGCAATACATTCTATTGGATGTGTAAGTGATTGATGACATATCTATATGTGTACTTAGGTCTCTGCCACAGCGGCACTCCAGGACTGTATGGCCCATATCAAGATGTCAGCTCCCGAGTTTCTTGTCAAATGACTTGTTTTCATGTTCTTCCAGGTAATACAACTGTACATTTCATTTCTCAGTAGCCGCCTAGTTGACGACAGTAAGTTATAATATTATCGTTGATACTGCTCGAGTTGACAAAGTGGCGGCAAAGGCGGCCAATGGGTCATCCCTTGCGATTCTTCAGCAACCATGTCCTTCAGCTTTGGGTAACTAGCAATTGATTAAATAGGTCATGTACACCGCTAAAACCTATCTTCCAGGGAAGGAAATTCGTTTGTTTTGGAACCTACCAATTACATTATTGACCCAGTTGAGGGGAACTTGGACCTCTATCTATCTTGGCCTAAAGCTTCACCTCCCAGTGCCGATGGAGTTGACTGGTTATTAGGTATGATAATCTACTGTATAATTCCTGTTGCTCAATATTACTGACTGCTTTACTTGTCCAGGAACCCCATTTTTGCGGACTGTCTACTCAATATGGAGGTATGTTTAAATCCTTGATATCTTTTCAGACAAATTTCATCAGCTTTTTACGGCATCGACTACCAGGAACCCCTGATGATTGGTCTATATCCCTGCAACAATGCCTCAGCACCTGTACAACCTTATGCGGTCGTCCAATCCTCCCTTTCATCCAAGTCTGCAACAGTTGCTACCACCCTACCTAACTATCCCCTCTCTACACCCTCCTACACGACGCCTTCATACACATTTAATACTTCAGTCCCAGCAGTCTATGGCGAGATCGTACAATCAGAGCTCGTGACGAGCACATACAGTCCCCTCATAGGAACACTAGCCATTAACGCCACCGCCCTCCCTCAGGTATCTGGTGCATACACCTTACTTGTTACGAATTTGAACGGTGCAGTGGTGACGTCGATGTATCACATCTCACTACCGTCAGTTGCACTGGGCATACCCCCTGCATCAGTAAAACACCCAGTTCCTTATCTCACTTATTTTTATCTTTCTTTCGTTGTGACAAGTGTAGACCTACTTACTTCTTGCTTTTCTTGCTTTTCGTGCTTTTTTCCCTTACTACTGAAAGTAAATTAAGGAAAACAAGGGTGGAAATCAAATTAAGCATAATAAGTACAATGTATATAAAATTGAGTGTTTAGGACGTGATCTCAAATGCATGATGATTGGCATATTTGTTAACATAAAATTTGCGGAAGGAATCATAGGTCTGGTAGTGCCAGAGGTTGGGGGAAATGAATCGACTACCATAGACAGGAATAAGGTGAGCAGCGCGGTAGATTGAGTCAACATGGATGACAGAGATGTTGGGAGTGTTGTTGGCATGGTGAGCAGGCTGCACCACCCACATCCCAGTATCTTCGTCAGGTAAATCTCCGAGGGTGTCAAACCATTGCACAACTGCGCATGGATATGTCTCAGCCCTGTAAGTAAAAGAGAAGAAGGTCAGTACTTGAGCAACATCCATACCCCTCATTCCCTCAAGGTCCGGATTCATGTTGATGAAGATGCAGTCATAATGTGGGTACTCCTTTTGCCACGCTGGACATGCACAAATATGCTCACGGTGCATGCCACCAATGCCGCTGAGATCGCTGGGGGCAAAAAACCTCAAGCATGCCAAATTAAAAATATGGATTCTCTCGTCATATTGGGAACAGTTTGCGAGAGGAACTTGTAAAGGATCACGTGGGTTGTTGGGATTGAGTTGGGCGAAAAGGAAGCGGGACAACATATTCAGGAGTTGGGGAGTTGACAACTCTAATGCTAATTCAGAGACTGTGCATGCATGGTTGTGTTCTGGTGCAGTGTGATATTAGTTAGTGAGAATAAGCAAAGATGATAATGAAAGAACGTACGAGGCGTCTTTGCCAATTCCACGTGTGCTTGGATGACAGTTGGGCCGGTGTCTATTTGGACATCCCCAACATCCCCGTCTTCCCGCACACCCACCTCACACTCAGCATTAGGTTGCAAAATATTTCCAGGCTGGTCATTTGTGATTCGGATCTGTTCTGTTGTGGGGTTAGTTGCAGCGCATCAAATGTAGTATTTTCAGACTTACCTAGTGCATCAATAGCCGTTGAAAGACACATCCTGTTGAGCATCCCACAATTCGTAAAGTCAGTTCGTGCCGCTGCAAGTTTGTCGAGGCACTGGTTAGTGACCAGCATCTGACTGAGTGCCTTATACCGATTTGACCGCCGCCATGGTTCTTTGACTGCTTTTATATGTTTTGATTCAGTAATGGAGGAGCACAGACCATTTGGAGCGCCAAAAAGGCAAATGAGATGAATATAGTGCTGAAGTGAGTGTTGATGGGGAAGCGAGAATGTTTTGACGACTTTGGTAGTTGTCATATACCTGATCTGACTGCTCCGATATTGATATCCACTCCACTTTCCGACCCCCTCCGCTCCATCCATCCTCTGCTCCGTCCAATCACAAGTCCGCATTCCGCCCTACGCTTCCGCTCAACCAGTCCCCTTCCATAACCTCTCCATTCAACTGGATCTCTTTCCCCTTTTAGATATATACTTTCCCCTTCGGTACATAGACCCTTACTTCTGGATCACCAGTAATTCCTATTACCGCCCGATCGCTGATCCGACGTGTACATATTGATATCCGCTCCGACTTATGTCTTCACCTGTGTAAAGTACTTACAAACCATATCCTTGGTACATAGCTTTACAACATAGTTATCCTGGTCACTGCCTCATACATAGTAGTATATAACATATCATGTACTTAGATATTTTCCTCAGTCTTAATATTACTTGTCTTCTCGCAGTTACATCTTGTGGGAATTCTCAGTAGGACCTTGCCTCCTCTGGACACAAGTCTCAACTTGTTGTCACCTCCAACCCTTCAACCCTCCACTCCGACTTAGAGCTGTGCTCTAAGTCTTTCCCTTATACTCCGCCCCTATCAAATATCCTCCCTTGTCCCTCCGCATTATCTTCCGCCTTCCCCGCCCCTACCAAACATTCCCTCTGCTCCTATCCACCCCCCCGCATCACTCCCTGCCTTCTCTGCTCTGCTCCTAGTCAGCCTGCCGCTAGTAGCTCTTACTCCCCGACCCTCAAAGCGGACCAAAGCGGTCCACTCATCCTATTGTTGGACAATATCGGACCCGCTCCAAATTTGGAGCATGTACTCGGCTAAGGGCGCAGTGCAAGAGCTGAAGCCAAGCCCTGACCCCTCTGCTTCCTGAGTCGGCACAGTACCTAACAAGTTGTAAAAATCTCTCGGTACTGGTGAAAATGATCAAGCACATTTTGGATTTCATCGAGTGTCTTCTCGGTGATAATGTCCCGGCGGACGAGGTAACAGAACTTGAGGAAAGCACAGAATGTTTGAACTACCTCCATGGGGATGTGTCCCTCAATAGCAGGTAGATACACCTGAAATAAGTATGGTGAAATAACAAACTTGAATAAAAAACAAAAACTTACCTTCATTAACACTTTGAATCATCGCCCGTCCACTGTTTGAATCCGCGACCTTGAGGGAAACACCGGAGACCAGCAAACGATGGTGTGGCTGCAATTCTGCACCATAGTTAGATAGCCATATGTAATATCTAGATAATTATCATACCTTCAATCAATATTGTCCATAATACAATTGGCCTCTGTCTTCCCATGCGTTCGAAGCAAGTACTTCTCAACCCAATTGACAATATGATCCTTGAATGTACCTTTTATCAGCTGGTGTAAAAGGTTGGGGGTGATTAGTTCATGAATGTCCGCTCGAGGGTAATCATTTGTGAACGCCTGAAAGGTATTATTAGTGTATTAAAATGAATCATAGAATTTGAACTTATGACGAGATTGCCAACAATGCTGTAGTCATCCCATAAGTCACCAAGGGCTGCTTCTTCGACGAGGGCTTCTGTATGTTCGCGAAAGCGCCCACTAGCTGGTTCATCCAAATTATTGCGTGATCCTAGACATCTGTTGAATCATTAGCATACCAGTAGTCAGCTGAGAGGCGTCATAACACTTACCTTGGACACCAGCCTTGAACGATACAGGTCAACAGCACCTGCTCCTCATAATCAGCGATGTAAGGTCCTAAACCATAGATGACATGCCAAAAGTGACCATCGCCAAAGCGCACCACTTCAGGCTTTGTCATACCAGGCCGAAGCCTCTCAAGAATCTTGGCGAGGGACGATTGAAATAATTGACAATGAAACTTGTGGAACTTTGGATCAGAAGCATGTTCTTTCGTTGCTGTTGAAAGCATTAGTCAGTTATGTGTATGTATAAGACAGACAGCAAAAATAAGGATAAAGAAAGTTCAAAAAGCATAGGCGAGTAGCTGAGGCCAGGCATCTGTGGTGTCGACATTTCCATAAAACTTGACATCTGAATAGTGCAATCCCCAAGGGAAGGCATCCGTGGTGTCTGGTGGCATTGACATGTCCATGAAACTTGACATCTGAATAGTGCGATCCCCCAGTGAAGACTCTGTGGGCGTAGGCGAGTAGCTGAGGCCAGGCGTCGGTAGCATCAACATGTCCATAAAACTTGACATCTGAATAGTGCAATCTCCAAGTGAAGACTCTGTGGGTATAGGCGAGTAGCTGAGATCAGGTGTTGGTGGATGACGACACAGGACAAAGTTCAAAAAGAAGCTGAGGAGGTGTGGTGTGTTTATGAGGTGCTTACTTTTAGGTATAGCTAGAAATCCAATAATAGCAAGGGCCTCCCGGTGTGCACGCCAGGACATTGTTGCGAACATTTCCTATGGAGGCATAGAGAGGGTAATACTCGTTATTTCCGGTTGCGACATGGACACTGTAGTTTTATCACTACCCAGGATTACAGGCACAACATGTTGATCCATGGGTCTCCGGGTCAGTTGCAATTAAATCCTGGAAATTGTTAGAGGTTATTCTCAGATAAATACTAGTACTTATGACTTGATCCCAGGCCCAATGCACCGGACATAAAGTCCTTCCATTGCCGGACAGTTGCCATCAGTTGAAAACTCGCTGATATGGGCAGTAATCGAACTCTTTTACATAGTCCAGGGTTTCTGAGCATGTTCCGAACGACCTGATGTGGGTCTCAGTACCAAACATCAAATGTTTGATCCATCCAGGGCGGTGCGACATCTGGTCGCTCACCAGTTTAATGTGCTGAAAATGACTGCCATTTGACGTCACCGACTGGAATATTGTCGATAGTCTTGTAGAGATCACGATGGTCGGCAAACGGAGGTCTATTGTTGTGTTTAGTGAGTGTCGAAGCCCACAAATCAAGCAATCTGTTGATCTGAGTTGCAGGAGTCTGATTTTCAATGAAGAAAAACTCGGCTGTCTCGAATTCAGTGCAATTTCGGAATGGGGTCCAGTCATCGGGCATCTTTTCGGGGGGAGGCTCTGGGGCACTTCCAGGCGGAAGGAATGTACCATGTGCATCACAAGGACAGGGCTAGAAGTTTCAAGTCAACTGGATGTATTATGAATTAAAACAAAACATTACCATCAAGTGCCTTATGAAGAGTTTCAATATAGGTAGTCTCCTGGACCCCAGAACTCAGTGTCGATGTTGGGAGGCAGCAGGTGGTGGGTCTCATTTTCAATATATTGGTCTTGATGCTCAGGCTCTTGAAAATCAAACTCCTGGCCTGCTGGCACGACATGATGCTCAGGAGCTGAGTCTTCAGTGATATCTGCTGGTGGGTTTGGAATTATGGGGTGGGCCGAGTTTCTGTGTTTTGTGTGTCCTGCGTAAGTTTTGAAATGACGCTGACAATTTCCGTGCCCACAAGGTAATTGCAGAGCACTGTGATCTTGCTGGTTCCTCGGGATGACTTGAGGCATCAAAGGTGAAGAAACAATTGAAAAGATGGAGGTGTGGTAGACAAGAATTTGTAGAAGTACTAAGTGAGCCCGATAATGCCGTCCATAAATACATTGGTTGTGTTTGGAGTCAGGGTACGGACCGTGAGCTACTTCAAAAAAATTCGCCTGTGTGCACTAGTCCTGGCTCATTCCCAACAACCACTAGCATAGGTTACCTGCCTCCCTACTCCCTTCCCTATTGGCCATGACTTCAGAACACACTGTTCCACGTCGCACTCGTCCGGCTAATGCAAACAAGCATCCCAGTGAGATCGTTCTTCAAGCAAAAAGTCGTCGGTGTACCACAGAGGAGATAGCTGCTGCCAATGAAGCAAAATCCACAAAATCTGTGGCCAACCAGGCTGGTATCAAACATTTGGCTGGAATAGAGCTCAAGATGGAGAAGAAGCAGGTTGACGCACTGACCAGGAAGGCCCAGCCGGTGTGCCCTCCTCCAAAAGGAAGGTCCAAGGTAGTAGTAAGGTTATCTCTGAAAAAGGGAAGAGTCTTCCAGTAATTGCCGATGACAAGGCTCAAGGGGGACTCACCAATAATGTAGCGTTGGAGAATAACAAAGATGATGGTCCTGGTAAGAGGAGATAAGCATGCGGCATGATGGCAGTGATAACAAGGGGCCAACATGTGCTGATAAGGACAGTGAGAATGCACTGGCGTGAGTCTCTCACAGCTTCAGTTATGCTATTACTGACAGAATCAACGATTTTCTTCCTAAATTTAACCTCAAACCACACCGGCAGAAACCCTAACTTCACATTCAGTGGAAAGATCCAGAACTGGATCTCTGGTGTTGACAAACCTTTCAAGCCTCATACACTATCCACTCAGAAGTCTTCCGCCTCAGTTCCCCCTTCCACTACCTTCACCCATCTCACAGAGACTTCTAAAGTCACTGTTGAGAGCACTATCTCAGCCAAAACCACTGAGAAATCTGGAGATGTGCTCATCGGAGGCTTCGATGATGAAGAGGAGGATGATTCATTGGAATGCCAGCTTGCTCAATTGACGGTCAAGAAAGGCCAGGAGCTAGCTATGGTGATTTTCCTTTGTTTATTGATATTTTACACTACTGATTTATCTTTACAGACTAGTGTTGCACTCACACACGATGACTCAGATGCCGGCATATACGATGATGAGCCCAAGGCTCCATTCACTCAGCATAGTGAGGCGTGGTCAGTGCCTAAAAGGAAGGCAGCAGACATCCTGGAGGTTTCATCTGCCAGTGAAATCGAAGACTTTGACACTGTTGCAAGTGACCATGATCTACTATCTGATTCTGACGACTATTCTATGGAGGTTGATTCAACCCACTCAGACCTCAAGCCAGAGACATCTCAACCTGTGGCCAACTTGAAGCAAGATCCTGCACTGCTCATGAAGACCCTATCAAAGTTGCAAAAGGCTTGCTGCGCTACAAATTCGGTGAGAACTCGATTCTTGCATGAGTTTCCGCTGACTGATATTTGTAGACATCTGTCACAACTGTAGACATGGACACTCCGGCACCCAAGAGGGTGAAGACCACAGCACCAATCAATGCTACTCCTGCACAGGCTCAACAGCCTGTAGTCCAATGCAACATGCCTGCAAAATCAGTAAAGCCCTGGGTGCAATATCGAAACACCAATTTACCTGCGCCAGTTCAGGGTGACCAGCGCTGGACTAAGAAATTTCTTCCAACCGTACTGTTGTGGATGGGGAGTCTTGAAGATGACCTCGTTTGGACCATCGCAGATGCAAATCTACTCAAGCATATTCAAGTCGTGTTTGATGCTGTGTATCTGGAGCTCAGCATTCAGTTGGTCCAGAATGGTGTCGTTTTCTCCCTTGTATGTTTTTCTTCTTGTTTTTATGGCTTACTTATATATCTTACACCATGACACCTTTGACTAGACCGTTCAATGGCTTTCTGAATGGCGCAGCAACTTTGGCTCAACAGCCATCACAATTATCATTGATTTCCTGACGAGCGACAAGGAATGTGACCCACAGGTCCTTGTGGGCCTCCTCTTGAACAATTTCACCTTCCTTTTCAGCGACATGGACACATGCGATCCCCTTGGAGTGTACCATTCCGCCTTTATGCTTCAGCTCTTCGGAAAGGCACACCTCGCTAATATTAGCGGCCACGCCAATGTTCCTGCACTCAAGACTCATGTTCTAACATCAAGTGGAATGGTAGGCGCTCTATCACTTTGTGCTGCAGCTGTAAGGCTTCTTTTGTTCTCTCTCATGGATACTATTGATGATGTTCAACTTCTGCGGCAGCTTGAGCGCACTGTGGAAATGATTTCCACCGGTGATATCAAGGCCGAGAATATTTTAGCTTCAGCATTGTCTAGCAAAACAAACATCAAGTTGCTGAAAGTTCTCAACAAGGTCACGGGCAAGGAGACCAACGCCCCCTTCTTGTTCTCACGCGACAGGTGCGCAAAGAAGACAAAACAGTATGCCATGTCCATCAAGAAGAAGGGACCAGCCTTTATTGCATCATTGACGGACATAGCGCGGTCTGGCTTGAAGGAATGTGCAGCCTGGGATTCGGCTGTCACAGAGGACGAGTCCGAAGACGAGCGCGCTTTGCTGTGTATTTATGTGCTGCTTTCGTTGACTTACATCTTTACTGAATTTTATGTATTTTTCATAGAAATCTCCAACAGCACTATGGACACAGGCTGCTGCTGCTACTGGTAGCGTTTACTATACTTGGTCCCCACTGTTCTAAACCCCGTCAAGATATATATCCTCATCACTCACACACTGCTCATTCGCTCTACTATGCTGTTGTCATTTGCCTCTCATCGCTCGTTTTCTTTTAATCTCATTGTATTGTGCATGGTTTCAGGTCTACACTGGTACTACCTCCGCCCGCTCTCTAGTTTTACTACACGATCTCCATATATTGCTTCCTTAATTTCCACTTTTTCGCTCCGACGGCCCCCTTTCTTTTGCTTTCCTTTCACTACACAATTTCTGTATGTGCTTCCTTGATTTCTGCTTTTTCACTTGGACAGCCCTCTTTTTTTGCTTTCCTGCTGCTTTTAGCGTGCTTGTTGCTGAATGAGAAATTGCTTGCCATGCAAAAAAAGCGAAATAAGTGAAAAAAAAAAGTAGAAATCCAGACGACAAGTGGCCTTTTTTCAGCTGGTGGTTTAATTATTTTGACCCTTGCTTATTTCTGCTTATTGTACAGGAAAAGTTAAAAATAAGTAAGGTAAGGAACTGGGCGTTTTACTGATGTGGGTGGAGTAGTGCTGCTGCCTCTCTGAGCGTTCCTAGGGTGGGGCTGGCTATTTCAATGGTGATCACTCTTGTCACTGGCACATGGATTCTATAAGGATTTTTGCATATATCATTTGTTTTGCAACATCGCTTTGTATTCTGGTGTTACACCGTGTGGACGCCAATTTCTTGCCACGTACAGACTATGTACTGTTCTGACTATTCATTATGTCCCTTTCTTGGACATTACAAACTCTTCATAGCATAGTACTTTGTCTCATCTCGAACTTTGTCTGTGGTAGATAGCAAAATCTAATCCTTGTCACAACAGATTCCCGCTACGTAAGTAGTGGGTTTTTCTGTGCCATGGCCGTTTGGACCTCATTGACCAAATTTTTGGTGAAAAATGCATTTCACTTCAAAATGGTGATTCGTTCACATGATCATATGACATTCTTTCTAATCCACATGTGTGGTCTGTGCGTATTATGTAGATCTTCCTTATCGTCGCCTACTATGTCTTTTGTCTGTCACAAAGTCCTTGGATCTTTTGCTGATGTTCCTGCTCTTATTCGTGTCAACAGTGCGAGTTCTGATTCCACCGTGTCCTTGCCTTTCCTGCACAATTGCAATGTGCCGTGTTCTGTTTTCACACATAATGGGGTGGTTGTGGGGTCTAGTTCTGGTCCGGCACATGTTCCTACCGTTGATGTTTGGTATAATTCTTGGCAGACCTTTCGTTCCATTTATCTGAATGGGTGCGACATTGAACTTGGTCATGATTGGCTTTCGTATGTGAATGCGAGGTTCAATGGCTCTCGCTTTCTTTGACCTTTGGAGACAGATTTAGCGCAGCTTTCTGTCAGTCATACTTGGAATGTTCAGCCTGGAGGTGTGTGTGTTTTTCTAAATCATGTTGATATAGCTGAATTAATTTTTTAGATGATCTGTTTACTTGTTCATCTGCTATTCAAGCAGAATCATGTTTAGCTACCTGTTACAGGGACCCTCAGACCCCTATCGTCTCCACCAAACATCGCCGTCACAACACATGACAGATGATATCACCAGCACATGACAAAACTACAGAGCACAGCATGACAGCTCTAGACTGGACCTAGACTGGGATCAATAGAAGCCGCATGCTTCTCCCTTATTGCCCCTACTGATTCACTGGTAATGACTATCATTTATCTTATCGCTTATCATGACAGATAGCATTATTTGACTTGGACACCTACCACTGTGCCAGTACCATACCCTGGACCCTTACCATTGAACTGGTACTCTTATCTCTGAGTCCTTATGACTCACATAGATGCTTACCTAGTTGGGACGCTTTCTGGCTACCCAAGCCTACCCTGAACTCATAGGACGATACCTATATATACCACTGTAGTTAGACCATGTATTTCTCTAACTTGATCTTCACTTGTGATATACGACTCTAGCTTCTTCTTTGAACCTTCAGTCAGTCATTCTGGATGAATAGCCTTCATTCAGTCTTCCATTGTCTTGGTGCTCCATGAAGCGGACATGGGAATGACCCTATCAAGTGCACTGTTGGAAAGCTGGGCTTTCCCGTAACACTACCCAAGCGGGTTCATTGTCTGTTACCCAAGTGGGTTCATCATCTGTCACCCAAGCAGGTGTATCCTCATCAAATGATAATGGTCATGATGTGGATAATTTTTTTGATGGATATGAAAAAATTATGAAGACCAGCTCTGAGTGCATTGGCAACTGCTTGTGGACTTTTGGTACCTGCAAATTTGTCTATTGAAGAACTTAGAGAGATGATCTCTCGTCATGTTGGTACTGGACTTTGTTCTTCTTCTTCACAAGCATTCGAAGGGTGTGGTTCACTGCGTGAACAATTAGGTATCGATTGTGAAGACGAAGGAGAGGTGCTTTCTGGCAGAATCGCACTTTTGACAGTTGTGTTGAATAATACAAAGCGACGTCCTTTAGAACGACTACTAAAAGCAAATGGAGTTGGATTTGAACCTGGATTAAAAACAGGACGACTACATCGCACATTGAAAAAACATATCCAGTCCCTATGAAAAGTGAAGTCGAAATCCTCCAATAAAAATCAGACAGAAGCTCGACAGAATTATCGTGAAAATCGTCATCAACAACTTTGTCGTGAATGGCCCCAGATTCTGTCATCGGAATTGAAGCGTCGTTTAGTGCAGATGTTTAGAGATGAAACTTCTTCTGAAAATCTGGCCATGTTTACATGCGCGTCCTGCGCTGAAAGTGTCTTATGTTCAGAACGTACATTACTATCTCTGGATGATTTTGATTCATCTCTTTTGTGCAGACCTGACCAACAAAATGATCAGTATATGTCAGATGATTATTTTGACAGAGACTGTCCTCTTCCTCGAATTCTGTTTGCAGATTTGAATAATCTGCTTAGTGATTTACTGCTCGAACCATCCGGAGTGAAACCATGTAGTGATGGAAAATATCAACTATCTCTCTGCAGTGTATGCCACAAGAAGCTTGTGAAGGGAAAACAACCTGCTCTCAGTCTTGCGAACTGCACTTTTTTAGGAGACGTACCTGATGAATTGAAGGATTTGACAGTTATTGAGGAAGCTATGATTGCTTGTTGTCGTGCGAAGTGCTGGATCATTCAGCTCAAGGAAGAAAACCAAAACCTGCAACTTTCAACTAATCAGTGCGGAATGAAAGGCCATATAATTATTTACCCTCAGCGTCTGGAAGGTATTGCTGCTATCTTGCCTCCAGCAGTCGATGACATTATCACTCTGATCTGTGTCATATTTGTTGGTTCAAATCTGCCATCTCGAGCATGGCTTCAGGAAAAGGCCAAACCTTTAATAGCGCGAAGAGAAAAAGTGCATGCCACATTAGTTTGGTTAAAGAAACACAATCAATTGTACAAGGACATTACCATTGATCACACCGTATTAGATTCAATGGAAGAGGAGACATTGATGCCCTTTCATGTGGATCATATTCTACCTAATGATGCGCGTGAATCCTTGACCTCGAGATATGACGCAGACGAAGTGGTTCAATTAGAAGACTCACTCAATTTGGTGTCGCATTCTGTCGAATCTCAATCAATTTTTGAGATTGTTGTGGTCACTGATGTCAATGGTCATGCATCTGCGAATGAGTTGCAAGCAGCAGCAGTTCATCATATAAAGAATAAGGGTGGTGGATATGTCCAAATCCCTCATGACCCTGAACCTGTTAATGATTTTTTTCAGCCGGATCTGTTCCCAATGATCTATCCTACCTTATTTCCGTATGGTTTAGGAGGATTCGAAGATCACTTATGTTCTGAACCTTTGTCTATCAAGAGACATGTCAAACACTTGTTTAACCTGGCTGATCGTCGCTTTCAGGAACATTATTCCTTTTTGTTCACCGCATTTAACATTTTACAACGACGGAAAATTCTGCTACATACCTCTTTAAAGGTAAAGCGAGACACCTTCCTGTCCATAGCTACTAACCTTGCTGCTGTATCACCATAGGCTGTGCATTGTGTCACAGAATGTGTGGCTCGAGAGGATATAGTTTCTGCAAACAACAAGGATGAGAAAAGTGTTTTGCGCTTGATGAAGGAAGTACAAGTGATAACTTCGAATGTGCCAGGTTCTGCACATGCGAGAGCAAACATGCAAAATGAAATCTGCGGTTTAATGTGCAATTGAGGCTTACCGAGTTTCTATATCACGATCAACCCAGCAGATGTATACAATCCTCTTGTTAAATTTCTCGCTGGCAATGAAATAGATATTGACAATCTCTTACCAGAACAAGTGCTGAATTTTCATGATCAATCCATTCTCATCGCTCAAAATCCTGCTATCGCAGCCAAGTTCTTCAATATCTATATGAAAACATTCATTAAATGCCTTCTGCGATTTGAAGGAAAAGGTGTGGACCCTAATGAGGGAGTACTTGGCGTTGTTAGTGCGTATTATGGGTGTGTTGAGGCTCAAGGCCAAGGAACGTTGCATTGCCATATGATGATATGGTTGGAAGGAGGTCTGAACCCTAACAAAATTAAAGACTGCATATTAAAACACAACGAACAAAATTTTAAAGAACGACTTCTCCGATATCTAGAAGACACCATCGCTACTTGCATTCCGGAATATCCAGAGGGAGATTTGTCTATGCTTCTAGATGAAGGTCCCCATCCTTGTTCTACCTGAGGAGTCAATTTTCGGAACGTCGAAGATAACCCACTGCAGATGATGTGTGAAAAAGACATGCATTTTCTTGCTAAAAAATGTCAGACTCACTGACATTCGAAAACATGTTGGAAATACTGGAAAGGCCCACCAGAACCGAAGGAATGTCGTGTTGATCTAGATGAGAAAAATGTGCATCCAATAAGCTTCACGGATCCAGACACGGGCGAGATTACTTTGAAGTGTTTAGATGGTCTCGTGAACCATTTCAACGCGATGATACTGGAAGCTGTGAGATGCAACATGGATATAAAGTTCA